GTCGCACCACAATGGTGGCACGACGGGTTCTCCTCCCGCCCGATGCGGTGCAGGTACGACCCAAAACAACCATGACCTGTCATCACCTGCACCAGACGGAAGGAGAGAAAGCCAAACGGCCGCTCGAGCCAGGTCTGGAGGACCGGCCCGATGGCGTCCAGCGTCCGTCGGCCAAAGACTGCGGCAGCGAGGTCGTCCGCCCAATGCAGGACGATGGCCTCCTTGGCCTCCTGCCGCACTGCTTCCCGGACCTCATGAGCCGGGCGCTCTCCTCGCGCCCTCCGGTCCACCGTCCACTCATACACTCTGGCGAGCACCCACGCTTCGAGCTCCCAAGGGGGAGTGCCCGCCAGTGCGCAAGCGGCTGCATAGCCCACTGTGCGGTAAGCCCGCGCCACCCGTTGAGCGATAGCCCTTTGGGGCACGCGAAGGGCGGTGGCGTTCTCCCTCCTGCGCAGGGAGTCCGCCCAAACTGGAGCCCCATAAAGGGCCATGCTCCGGAGTATGCCGGCATATAGACGCCGGCATCGCGCGCTGGGCCCTCCCAGGTTTGGCATGAGCCATGACAGGGCGTTTGCCGTTTTTAAAAGGCGCTTAGACAAATCAGCGAAATGGGGGCTGAAGCGCCACCTGCTGTCCAGGATGAGGCCCAGATATTTCATCTGCCTCACCACTGCGACCCTCTCGCCATCCACAAAGATGTGGGCGTCAGGAGGAGGACGCTGCCTCGGGCCGTGGAAGTACACGGCTTCGGTCTTGTGCAGTGCGACCGTCAGTCCCAAACGGCGGATCCTATCGGCAACCAGGGAGCCGCCCGCCGATACTTATCATATCCTAAGATAAATAACACAACACAACATAACACTTCACACAAAAAAAAAGAAACAACCAACATTTCACAAATATTCCAACAACCAACTATCTTCCTAGGCAAGTACGCCTAGCAACTCTCTTCTAAGCCGGCCATAAATATCCAACCATACACTCAAATGTACCGTTAGCAAACGAACTTTGTCTCACAAATGTAACAATGATGAATGTGTACATCCAGCATACAAGGCAGGAAATGGAATCGCGGAGGCGTTATTGAATTCGTAAACTAAAATGACGCAAGAAAAATGTTATTTCATACTTTTTTGCTGATCGTACGCCTGGTGTAGGGTTGTCACGTTTCATTTTATTGAAACGCAAAAATGTATGTTAAAATGAATTTTGATCATTGTGTTTAAATCAAAGGAGAATAAATAGAAAGGGGGAATGGATCGGGGAAAGAAAAGATGTTTTTTTGTATATTGTGTGCATGGAATCAAAGGAGTCGAACGTGTTATGTTTTGTAACACGTAAGAGTTTCAAGTTTTTTAATTTATATAGGTAAAAGCCTTACAAGAGAATATGCATCGGTGTAACCAAAAATAATAATTATAATAATTTATAATTATAATCGGCCTTGAATAATAACGACGAAATTAATAAATATAGAAGTGTTAGACTTTTACAATTACAGAATGTTTTCAATAAACTGTGATAGAATTCAACAGCACTCTTAGAATGTCCAACTACAGGTAGCAGCTTTCCAGACAGATACCAACATGTCTACAAATTTTGTTAAGCTGCAAAGCCCATCACATTGATATCCATTGATTCAGAACGTGCTGAAGTAAATCTATGTTACTGAAGTAAAGGCCGGAGTAAAGAAGAAAATTTGTTTTTAAATTGTTTTGACTAAACTCTACGGAAAGATGGATGGGGAAGAATGAATACTAAATTTGACAAAAAGTGGATCTTTTAGTAGTAAATAATAATTTTAGACTTAGTATTTTTGGCCGACGTTGCGACACTACAGATGGTGCCTATACCCCACAGGGTGATGCCCGATACGAAGACGCCGAAGAATCAGAGGTTGCCGGAGCAAGCTCTAAGAGCAAGAGTAGAATTGGGGCGGTTTTCAGTCAGTAAGAGTCTGACACTCTCTCTCGCCTCACCCAAGGTATTGGATGATCTTTCCTCTCAAACAAAAGACTTAGTATTATTATTACCGAGAAATAGTTTAAGAAACTGATAGACGCAGGAATTAAACCTGTGCTTGACAGTCCCGCTTGCAGCCACTGCAATAATGAGGTAGTCAATAATAAGGAAACAGTCGGAAAGAAAAATAGCAATTATTCTGCATCTATAAAACTTGGTCCATATCTGAAGTTCAGTTTATTACCTACATAACATAATATTACGCCTTTTTGCCCCAGAGGGGTAGGCAGAAGTGCATATTACACGACTTATTAATGCAAATGTCTATAGTCATATACCGGGCACAGTTCCAGACTCTGTGTTACTATAGAGATTTTTTTTAAAACCTAGTACCTATATAATGCTATGCCCGACCCGGGAATCGAACCCGAGACCTCTTGCCCAACAGTCGCACTTGCGACTACTCGGCCAACGATGCTGTCCTACCTACCAGTTGCCAGTACCTATTTCGTTTTAAAAATAATTGAATATAGATGCATAACATTTCTAAAGACTACTTTTTAAAAAGTATATTGGAATACATAGCTTCTGAACATTTAACATTGGAACTTTTTCAAAGTCATCAACCCTAATTGCTTTATAGCTCTATTGGGAAATACATATTTTCTATGTACTTAGAATAATTTAATTTATGCTATTTGTATATTTTTCTTCAAATTCGTCCCCCGGGTTGGTTAAGATCGTCCATTTGTCTCTGTCAGAGATGACATAAATTAAATTTTCGACCGTTCGCCTCTGATATTGTGTTTTTTGTATAAATATTATAATGTTTTATTGCGCATCGGGTACATCGGCAATGAAAACAAAAACAAAACAATAAATTGTTGAAATATATGACTGTGATTTTGTTCTAAAATATTTAACGGTGAAATCGATGAGCATTTTGTACACAGCTACTTTTTTATGGGATAACCCGTAAACGAGCAGACGGATCACCTGATGGTAAGCAATTGGCGTCGTCCATAGACACCTGGAGTTTCTTGCTCTTTCTTCTCCATTTGAATCTACATTTTGGAATGAACTTACCTAGCTTCTCCTAGCTTCACTGACGGACTGACTGACAGACTATTATTTACTTTTGTATTTGTTGACGTTTCAAAAGTACCAAATTATGGTTTAATTGAAATAACAGTTTTGACTTTGACTTTACCAGAGGCGTTACAAGTAAGTCATCGGCCTATTGGAGATTAGAAATTTGAGGAATGTTGGGGATTCAGGGATTGGGGAGATTGGGGAGGGCGTAGTTGAGCCTCTGCTACTATATTACGATACCTGTTTTTTATGTAATTTTGTTTAAAAATCACACATTTCTTTTTGTTTTCCTGTCATGACGTCACATTATTTACGTCAAAGAAGAATAAAAAATATCTAGAGGTATACGATATAAAGCGGAAGAGTTTGTTTGTTTGAACGTGCTAATCTCCGTAACTACAAGTCCGATTTGAATAATTATTTTTGTGTTGGATAGCGCATTTATCGAGGATGGCTATAGGCTATAAACATCACGCTCACGCGCGACCAATAGGAGTTGAGCAGAGCGTGTGAAACCGCGTGGAAGTAGCTAGTTATATATAATGTACTTATGCATTCCTTCATACAATTAAAAAATACAACATTCAATATTATCTAAAAATCAGCAATATTATCAGTGTTACAGTTTCAGATTAAAAACAAGATAATCTTGAAACCACTGATATGATATGTTTATAAATCTATGCTTGAAACCTTTAATCAATGGACCGTCAAAATCTATTTAAAATATCAAAAATAAGGCCTTATTATTGAAAAAACTTGTTGAGCTGAAACCTTTTCACAATCTTCCCTGAAGTTTCACGATTATTGCCGTGTTCAACAGAAAGAAGTTTTAAACCCGAGCCCTCTGAATGTTTTCAGGAAGGCAATCATGCCAATAACTGCTCTCAGGGCCCAAGTTCATTAACAAAGAATATTTTTTTATGAATTAATTCAATGAACCATTGTTTTTAAGTGTGAGCCTTTGTTCTTTTTTGAGATAGCTCATTACGTTTTGAAGTTTGGGAGGAAAATAAAATTTTACTGTTACCTACTTAGAATCTAGAACGTTAGGCTAAAAAGTGTTTTTAGTCGTAAAAAGAAAGTTTGGGAAGATGGATTACTGTTTGTTTTATAGGAAGCTAGGTTTTGCCTGCGGTCTCACTTAAGTGAATCTTTTTTAAATCATTATTTAACTTTAATAAGATATATTTTCTTTATTTAAGGGGGCGAAAATCACACAATGAATACTCCAGCCTAGGTGAGGCAAGAGGGAGTGTCAGATTCTTACTGAAACTGACTGACACTGACTACTGACTACTGAATTTCTTATTTTTTACTCAAAATGAACTCTCAGTGCAACTGTTTTCACTTGTGCTGTAAGTGTCTAACAGCTATTTTAAAAACACTGTATTCATTCACCCATTTAATAGCCAATAACGATTCTCTAGAACAGTAACTTCATTTTTGTTTTATCACTATTGCGACACAAACAAATACACTAATCATGCTTATTTCATAATTACTTATCTCCAGAAAAAAATACAGAAGAAACAGAAAAATATTCAATTCAATTTCAGCCTTATTTATAGTTGTCATTAATACTATTATCTTTATATTTCAACAGCAAATGTTGGCTGACTTCGTTACGTAGGCATTAAGTTGGGCGTTAGGTAATTACTGAAATAAATGAACGTATTATTCTATCTATTTGATTTTACTTAGTTTCTGACCTATGTCAGTACCACAGCATAGAAAACATACAGTACCTCGAATTAGGCGTATCCTTGAAATCCTACAGCGGTTCTGGGCGTGAACATGGAACAAAATAATTTTGGCTGACGCGTGGCGTGCCATTATGCTGCTGCTTAGCCGTTCAGTAGTCGTTAGCCTCTTGAAACTAATCCTGAAATCAATTTTAATCAAATCTCGATAATTTATTAATTTACTCTTTAATGCCCACAAAAATAGGGTACACAAGTCACAATTCAATACAATAACCCTAATCGTAGCTGTCAAAATAGCGTTCGGAGTACCAAATAAAAAACCAAACGCAATACTATTTAGTTCATAAAATATCCACGCAATATGAATGCAATAAGTAGTATGTCGTGGTGGCCCGGAGGTTTAAGACGCCCGTTCCTTATGAATGAGGGTGCTGGTTCGAAACCTACCAACGCCTAGTATCAATGTGACTTTTTCCGAGTTATATGTACTTTCTAAAGATTATTTAGACACCACTGACGAACGGTGAAGGAAAACATCGTGAGGAAACCTGGACTTATAATTTCTAATTATAAGTTTGAAATCGCCAACCTGCATTGAGCAAGTGTGGTGATTAACGCTTAAACCTTCTCCGTGTGAGAAGAGGCTTTGCTCAGCAGTGGGCATTTAATGGCTGTTGTTGATGACGATGAATGCAATAGGCGCTAGTGTACGACTTAAGAGTATGAAGTTT